CTGGCACTGGCCGCTGCTCGTCTTTGCCATCGAGCGGTACCCGGACGCGAGCAGCCGCCCGACGTACATGGCGCCGTGGGCCATGCTCGGCATCTCGCTGCTGCTGAGCGTGCTGACGTACGAAGATGTCGAGAAGCGGCTCCGGCGCCGCACGTCCAAGCTCGTGACGCCGCTCCTCGTGCTCTGCGTTCTTGCGCTTGGGGTCCTCGCAGCGCTCGCGTATGCGTCGCCGTCGCACTACTCGGCCATCGAGCTCGACTTGGCGTCCAGTATGGACGTTGTAGCCTCGGACGAGGTGGCGCTGGACACGGTCTTTGTCCCGCAGGTGGATGCGAGCGCGGTGGTCGCGACAACAGCAGCGCCGGCGCCGACGGTAACAATGGCCAAGATCAAGGCGACGCCGACGTCTAGAGCTCAAGAGGCCAAGACGACGGTCCAGATGGCTCGCCATGCAATCACGGATCACAAATGGGATGCACTGCTGCACGGCTACTGCCCGACGGACACGCCGTACATCACCACCGCCAAGCTGCGCGAGCCGTTCCCGTTCAAGGACCCGACGTATGCAGGGTACCCGGAGCGATGCCAGGTGATCAACCCTGGTCATGAAGCCAACGGTGTCGTGGTCGTCCTCGGTGACTCTCATGGAGACATGTCCAAGCCTCGCTTTGCGCAGCTCTTCGACGAGAGTATTGTGGCCAAGACGCCGTTCCCGACGATCGTCTTCAAGACGCGCTGGGGCCGCGCGATGCTGCCGTGCCGCCCCGAGTTTGCCCAGAACATTGAGATGCTCAAGACGCTCAAGCCGACTGTTGTGCTCTTTGTCGTGCACTGGGTGCAGTACCTCAACCCTGGCGCTCCGAAAGACGAGCCGGCAAGCCACCCACCGACCTGCTGCTTGTACGAAGGCGCCGCATGTAAAGAACAGAGCTTGGCCGACGTGGACGCGATTCTTGCAGAGTTCCAGAGCCAGCTGCGGGCCGTCGCCGATCTCGGCGTCAAGGTTTTTGTCGTCGACCAGAGTCCCGAGTACGCGCGCATGAACCCAAAGTCGTGGATTCAAGGCGACACGGTCAAGCTTCCCGCGCCCGTGAGTCGCGCGGCCTTCCGAAGGGAGATGGCGTGGCTCTTTGACCGCTTGCACCCGGCCTTCACAGCGGCCAACGCTACGGTGCTCGACTATGCGGACGACTACTCGGACGGCGACAAGATCAAGCTGACGGACGCGTATGGTGAGCCCACGATAAGTGCCAACTGCCACCTCACGACGTACACCGCGCGCAAGTACCTCACCGAGATCGACCGCGTCGTGGCTGCGGCCTTGCGTTCATAGTCGAAATCATTAATGTTATAGATAGTCTAGTCGTCCTCTTGACCTTACGAAACCGACACGCATGGACAACGAGCACGTCGTGGTCGTCGAGCTCGTCCGTGCGATGCTCGCGCAGCGCTGTGACGCGGGCGCGTCGATCGTGGCCATTGTCCGCCTCTTGCAAGAGCAGCAGGTCGTGGTCGACGGCGTCGTCGCCGCCGACGGAAGCATCGCGTGGCCCTCGACGCCGAGTCTCCAGTTTGCCGTTTCGGCCACGCCACTTGTCGTGTCCATCTCGCTCTTCCGCCTCGAGGCAGACAGCATGTGCTTTCTGGGGGCGGGTGACGCGCACGTGCTGTCATGGGCGGCGACGGAGCCGAGCCACATGGACTTGACCAACAGCGCCGGCGTCGTCTTGGCCTCCATCTCGCGGCGTCCGAGGCCAGCGCCCGTCGTGGCGCCGGTCGAAGGGTTTTCGTTTTCGTGGACGTCGGCGGCGGCCCTCGAGGCCGACTCGCTGCCAAAGG